GTTTCGTAATGCGACCACACAGAGGAAGTCTTACAAAAGAAATGTTGGCGAAATTAACATTTCTCAAGTGCAACTCTGATCTTCTACATTAGACATCTTTCGTTTGCTATTCGTTTGTTTTCATTTGTATTATTGTTTTGTATTTTTCTAACAACGAAAGATGAACATTTTTTTTGAAACCGGAGCTGGATGTAAAAGCAGTAGGAGAGGAGCTGTAGCCGTGAGGAATCGGAGCTGCCCAGCTTTGCTCCTAGCAGAAATTAAAATTTTAATTTTCTTAGTGGAAATTAAAATCAACACATTCACAAACACGAACACTCAATTATTCGGCTTTAGAGCTCGAATTTTAGTTTTCTGAAAAGCGCACGATGTTTATGGGCATCAGGTAAAGATTATGAACAATGACTGCGAGTCCAAAAACAGCAACTTATGCGTAGAATGTGACCCGTAAACGTTTTGTGACTTGTACTATAACTTATCATTATATTTTGGTCGATAGAAGTTTCAGATTCGCAGTCACTGTTCATAATCTTCACCTGGGATCCATAAACATCGTGCTTTTTTCAGAAAACTAAAATTCGAGCACTAAAGCCAAATAATTGAGTTTTCGCGTTTGTGAATATGTTGATTTTAATTTCCACTAAGAGAATTAAAATTTTAATTTCTACTAGGAGAATTTTAAATGTCACAGGATTTTAATTCCTCCTGCAATAGATATTTGTAATGTTGATAGCTAATGTCTCTTATTATTTTATTGTTTTTTAGCCCACAAGAAAACAAGAGCTGTTTCAGAACGCCATTAAAGCGCATACCGACTTAATGATACAAGTAAAGTAGAAATAGCATTTCTTTCAAAATATCCTTCTTGAAATGTAGAAAAGACAACCTGCAACAGTTAGCAGTAGTTCTTTCTTCAAAACCTTTGTTTTGATTTCAATCACAACAACATAAAAGCAAGAATAATTGTGATCCCAAACCTATGAACCTTTCATTTTACTATTTCACTAGCAATTTTTCTTAGATCCTCAGAAGACTGCTACTTCGCTATTGATGACAGCCAAAAAGTAGACATTAACAGCTACTCAGCAGTTGGAAAACCAACATTCAGGGTAGCAGTTAGACGCTTGTTTTTGGCCACTATTAAAAGCCATAAAGTTGGGATTTAACTGTGTATCAACGAATGCAAAATAACTGCCTCAGATCAACTATTAATGGGCGTTTTTGAGACTGTTAAGAGAGCACCGACAACTCTGACCCTTATAACATTGGCTGTTTCCGTTTCACTTTTGTTTTATTACCAACACTGGTGATAACAATCAAACTAAAACTAGTGAACAAATGACAATTTACTATTTTCTAAGAATATCGAACAAAAATAATCAGTTTATTAGAACATCTGGAAACTGACTATAACAGAACAGCCATTTATGTTAAAAGCGGTCACCATAAAACGGTTAGTGGTGAACACTTTTTGATCATTAATAAAGTGCCACTTTTATTCATTAATACGTTCCCAGTTGCAGTGCTAGAAAAGGCCTGAGAAATTCAAATTTTTTGTAAGTTGCGATATGGAGTTATGCATATGCTTAGATAGCTATTGGTATCTATTTTCAAAATCCATCTTGAAAAATCATATATATATACTTTCGGAGCAATTTCAAAACAGTTTTCTAAAAATGGTAAAAGACCAGATTTTTGAAAAGTTTCCTAATGCTCCTCATATTCTATCAAGTGTTGGCCTCAGAATACAGGCAATCTTTTTTATAGGGCATAACAAAATTCGAGCTTTGTTTTTGGTTTCTGAGAAGAATAAAAAGCTTTCGAAAACTGAAGAAAAATCTCGTTATTTGGAAAACTTTTATTTTGCTCAGAGAACAAAAACAAGGATGGGATTCTGTTATGCCATTCAAAAAAAGGATCGCCTACATTCGAGGCCAGTCCGAGACTTCTACCTCCTAAAGTAAGGAAGAAATCAACCTTGGAATTATGACAAGCTACTTTTTGCCTACTGATTTTGGATAACTCTGAAAACGTTTTCAGTTTAAACTTTTATCCTAATCGAACGAGGGAACCTCCCCAGATGTCCACTTCCGATTCAGATGCTTTGTACATGGATCGATAGACCACGGTGAGGTAGTAAATACCCTAAAAGGATTCGGGCTCATGACTCTTGAAGACCTAGTTTTCTGAAAAATCAGTTTTTCAGAAACTCTAAAAAATTACCAAAAGCTCTTTTTAATGAGGCATGATTGGGGCCTGCAAATTTCTGATTAAAATGAGGCGTCTCCCAGCTCTACATGATCTTTCTTTGCAAAGTTATAGAATTTACAAGAAAAGCCCTAAATTAATTTCTTCGTATTTCTGTAGCTTTGACCCTAAATGAACATTTAGGGCTTTTCTTGTAAATTCTATAACTTTGCAAAGAAAGATCATGTAGAGCTGGGAGACGTCTCATTTTAATCAGAAATTTGCAGGCCCCAATCATGCCTCATTAAAAAGAGCTTTTGGTAATTTTTTAGAGTTTCTGAAAAACTGGTTTTCCAGAAAACTGGGTCTTCAAGAGTCATGGGCCCGAATCCTTTTAGGGTATTTACTACCTCGCTGTGGTCTATCGATCCATGTACAAAGCATTTGAATCAGAAGTGGGTATCTTCGGAGGTTCCCTGGTAAGCCAGATTGAACGCTGTTTATTTTAGAATATACAAGGACAAGGAACTCTTAGCCATGTTGTAGCACTGGAAAAAATGGCTGAAATGTATAATATACCTACACCCACATTATTTCTGGATAAAAGTTTCAAGCTGTATACACAAGACGTGCATTTACATTTGAGTCAAGTAAAGTTTTCTCTTTTAGACTAGTCAGAAATTCTTTTACCATAGTTTGTTATTTTTTCATGTATCACATGTAGATGGAAAAAACAATTGCAAACTCATATGCGCTTTACTGTTCGTGTCGTTCAGGTGACTACACATGTATATATAATGTACAAGATGATACGTTAACATTCACCATTTCAACATTCGAGACGAAAAGCTCAAAACTTTTTGCGGATACATTATCTGAACTATTACTGGAAATGTATGATTTATTAGAGTACAATGATAGTGGAATTGCATTAAACAGAAAGAAGGACCATACTACAGTCCGCTCAAAACTCTGATTATTATCGTAATTCGCATCCTCAGCTGCGAGTACCGTTTACCACAACAGATATTAGCGGAAAAAACAATAATTCTTTTTACACTTGTCTGTATCGTATACACAATGTCCAAGACTCTTTAAAATCTGTTACAACAGATATCTAGCATTTAGTGCTTTTTCCTTGTCTCAGATACGGCAACATATGTGCATTCATCCCCTATTAGAAGTACATTTTGACGAAATTTTTTGAAAACTCCTCCCCGAAAATAAACCATTTTAGATTTTTCGCGGACATAACAGAAAACCAGTCGCCTTCTATTTGGCTTTCAAGTCATATACTCGGCAGTGGTCTTCTAATTCGGGATGGTCTTCTATTATGGGAAGGGGTTCAGTCACATTTGGTAAAGAAGAACAAGAGAAGAAAAGAAAAGAAAAAATACTGTGTTCATAGGAGAGTGAGTCTTCCTTAGCGTGGATCTGTTTTTGATGTGAAGCGGACACATAGATCAAGCAGATAAAGAAGAAAAAGATGCATCATGTAGATATAGCATGTAGATAGATCAAGCGGATAACGATACAGATTGGAGTTATGCTGTTATCTAACATTATCGGACGACCAAGGTAGCCTTCAGCGGGTTTGCTGAGACTTTTCAGAGGGGGATGATCCCTGTTGTTCTCCATGTCAGAATAGATTTTCATATACTTTGCTCTGAGGTTCAAAGCAAACAAAGTAGATACGGGAAATGTTTTTCCCCAGAAATAGTTACCAACAAAAGCAAGTTTACAGAATAAAAGGAACCAGTCGAACTGATGCAATGAAATTATGTTATCAAGCCCCGCCGAAAAGTTTTTCGACCAGCGGCGGCAGAGCCTCATTAAAATATTTTCCCCCTCCGGCGGCGGCGACGGCTAAAAAAAATGTTCAGTCGCCGGAAACTATAAGATTATTTAAAACTTTGGATCGTCAGGAGAGGGGCGCAACCAAATTTGAATATGAAACTTAGTTTAAGCCAGTATCCATTGTCAACTTCATCAAATTTTTTATTTTATTTTCAATCAAAATAATTAGGCTAAAATAAGTTTGTAAGGCGAGAACCTCAAAATAGCTTCGGTGGCGGCGCCGAACATCCAAAAAAAATTATCCATCAGCCCCAGGAACACCTGAAAAGTTCGACGCCTTCGGCGACGGCACTGGGACCGAAAATCTTAGTTATCCATCCGCGGCGCACAGGTCTATACATGACCTATCCATATTTTCGCACGCAGACTAACTCAGAAACCAACAAAAACTCTGATAATTTTCTAGAGACGTGTAATGATCCTGAAACCGATCTCAGCTGGTTCTCCATAATCAATTATCCCTATCATGTACGTTTTATGGATGGATGTCGTCTCATGAAACTGTTATCGCATATTATTCAAAACTCAAGAAATGCATATGGCACAGAATAAACTCAAGAAGAAATAGACTTAAAGACAACTTTTCCGCACGTTAGGCGCATGCATTGAGTTGCATCTTTCAAAAACTGATATGAAGCCACATTATTGCTCTATGTCAGACATTATAGGACCTTAGACTTTCAGTCAAAGAAAACCTCCGTGAACACTGATCAGTTGTTCGAAAACATGTACGGATATATGTATCAGATGTCCTCTTCAAGCTGGTCAAGTCTGAGGGCACATATATAGGAAACGGCGCTCCTCCTCAAAACTGTATATGTCACTTAGATTCTATTTTTCAATCTTGTCGAAAGCACTAGTAAACCGCATGTTAATATCTCATATTTCAGCTACAACTGCTATGACAGACAGTGTAGAAGTTATAAGTTGAGCTCTCTATCTCTATTTCTTGGGTTTCAAGTTTTAGAGAAAGATATTCTGAATGAAGAAAACTGCCATTCATCTTTGGTTTCCAGCTGAAGTTTTATGGATGATGACGTCTGATTTGGTGACCAGTCGACCTGTTGTGAAACAAATTTTCCTAGATAAGGTCTCGAGATTTCCAAAATTTCTTCGAAATCCAAATCATCCGGTAAACATAAACCTAATTGTGGATGGTTGATGCAGTAAAGAGTTGCGGCAACAACGGCAATAGCCACTTGAAGCGTTGTTGCATTTTGTTCGGTGATCAGACGTCTCGTTTCTTCGATATTAAGCAAAGATCCTACCCACCAAGCTTTTAGATCATGACCCATGAGCATCACGCCCATTTCATCTGTCCCTCTGATAATATCGTTTGATATGGTTCGTTGTTTGGGTTGAAGTTCGTAATCATGCATTCGATATTCATGAAGGGAATTGATGGCTGAGTCGCATGGAAGATAGGCGAAAAGGACTGTTGGATGATATACAAGCTTGTCGTTTTGATAAGCAGATAGACATTTGGCAATCCCAAATGTTTCATCATGTCGACTCAGCATTCCAATTATATCACCGCTCGGCACCCAAGATTTAACCCATGTATTCATGCCTTTTTCACTCAAACATATATGAGTACATGGACCATCATCATAAATAATAGACTCTTCAGGTACTGATTTCTCGTGCGTTCCCCACGCAAACTCAGAAAGAGCTGTTTGCTCTTCGACAAAGCCAGATAATGTCCTTCTTTTACATGGTTATCCCATACCCTTCAACATCGTATTTCTTTTATTTTTTGCGCAAAAAGTTAGTTGTCTCATTCTGTTGCGTAAAAGGTGAATAGACCACCAGTAATACTCCATGTGTTAACAAATTCATCAATTTCTTTCGATTGATCGGTAATCTGACTGTCCCTTTCCGCTATATGAATAGTCTTCACTCCTAAATGATAAGCTAAATTCGCATAATCCCGATTATTCAAAAGCGTCTGTAGTAGATTTTTTCGTTCCAAACTATCATCATCATCCCAATCGGCCAGGAGACGTTGGGCAATATCAATTAGACCTTGTTTCACAAAATGAGACACCAGTCCGGGATTGGCACCATGATCAACAATGGCTGTCGGTCCCTTCTTATTCTTCCACGTCTCTTGCAATTGTGTCAGTTCGATTTGTCGGTGATACAGCGTTAATTTTTTCGGATCGGATACCTTTTCAAATGGTTCCCATATTTCTACCGTCGTATTGACGAAGCGTACGCCATGATAATAACACCAGTCAACTAGAGCTACTGTTTTTATATTACAAGCCAAATCAATCAATATGTCACCATTTGATAAATAAAGTTTTAGTATATCTGCATAATTTTCTCTTGTTATTTCATGCTGACGAAATTGAACGCCTTGGATTATTGCATCGTGAATTTTTGATGATTGATCCGAGAGATCGATGACGGTTACTGACTGTGGCAATACGTCAACCAATTTTAATAGTAATTGGAGGCTGCACTGAGAGACACCTCCACAACCGATAATCAAAATACGACGATTGAATCGGACCATGAAAGTTTCTAACTTTCAAACACAAAAGGAAAATATCCGATCGGCTAGACTTAAGTGAGGACTATGAAGGTGAGGCGTGTATGATTACACATTTTTAAGTAGATGCGTTACCTCGGCCTGCATTCAAAATATCGTGCCTGTTGTCAAGCCGCTTCTGTTCTCGCTAAACGCTTCATTGATTTTCAATGTCCATCAATGCCTAATGAAAAAATGAATTGCTAATTTCCATTACAAAAAGCTTATACCTTCTTGACAAATAATCGAAGTTTTTACATGTCAGATTAAAAAATACATTTTAGATGCATTAACGATGATATACCCATCGATNAGATGCGTTACCTCGGCCTGCATTCAAAATATCGTGCCTGTTGTCAAGCCGCTTCTGTTCTCGCTAAACGCTTCATTGATTTTCAATGTCCATCAATGCCTAATGAAAAAATGAATTGCTAATTTCCATTACAAAAAGCTTATACCTTCTTGACAAATAATCGAAGTTTTTACATGTCAGATTAAAAAATACATTTTAGATGCATTAACGATGATATACCCATCGATGATCACATTTTGCAGAGAGAACGACTTTACACATTTTCATGTGCATATATAGCATTATAACCTTACGGTGGCTCTTTAAATTAACTTTTCTCACGTGCTACATTAAACATATCGATGCTGGGCAAAAACCATTTTGTTCAAAATCCACTACGAAGTTATGCTAAACCTCCATATAGAAAATAGCTCTTACAAAACTGCACAATATTCCCACTAAACAAACCCTACATATCATTGGCTCAATCCTTTATAGATCAAATATGACCCGATGGCCTCTAACACTAAGTACGATGATGTTTCAGCCATTTCACCCCTATAAATAAAAGACAATGCAACTAGTCTTTAGTACAGATGTGTAGCTCTCGAAAAGCTCTGCAGGATTTCCATTAAACAAACCGTACAAATCATTGGCTCAATCCTTTATAGGTCAAACACGACCCCAATGAGCTTTAACAGCCAATATGTTTGATGTTTGAGCCATTTTACTCCCACAAATAAGAGACAATGCAACCAGTCTTCCGTACAGAAACATAGCTCGTGCAAAGCTATACAGTATTCGGATTAAACAAACCGTACATATCATTGGCTCAATGCTTTATAGGTTTCTTCAGGAAAACACACATAGTTCTTGTGGTTCTTCTAAAGGTAGACCGGCTTCGTCCGGAAAAAACGTGAAGTTCTTGTGAAGCAACATCGCGTTCTTCAGGAGAAACATAAAGGTCTTGCGGAGAAACACAAGCTTCCTCAGCAGAACCATGAATTACTTGTGGAGACACAAAGGTTTAATCCAGAAAAAACATGAAGCTCTTGTGGACGAACACCCGTTTCGTCAGGACGGGTAGGAACATCGCTCTCTTCAGGAAAAACATGAAACTCTTGCGGAGATACACACGCTTCATCAGGAAGACATCCGTTCTTCTGGAAAGACATCCGTTTCTTCCAGAGAAATCATACAGGTCTTGTGGAGAAACATCGGCGTCTCCTGCAAAAAACATGACGTTCTTGTGCAGAAACACCAATTTGCTCACGAAAAACTATTAAGTTTTTGTGGAGAAACATCTTTTTTCTTCACGAAAAAACATTAAGTTATTGTGGAGCTACATCCGCGTCTGCATCATAAATGAAATATGACCTAACACTCCTTTACAGGTCAAATATGAGCTCAATGAACCCGGAAAGTCAGTAAAATTGATCATTTCGCCATTTTACTCCCACAAATAAGAGAAAATGCAACTAGGGTTTAGTACAGAAAAATGGCTCTTGAAGAGCTGCACAGTATTCCCATTAAACAAATCCTACATATCACTTTGCTCAATCCATCATAGATCAAATATGACCCCAAAGACCTCTAACACTCAATATAGTTGATGTTTTACCCATTTTACTCCCATAAATAAGAGAGAATGCAACTAGTCTTTAGTACGGAAATGTAGGCCTTGAAAGTAGTCTTTAGTACAGATACGTAGCTCCTGAAAAGCTCTACAGTATTCCCGTTGAACAAAATGTGCATATCATTGGCTCAAATATAATGGATGTTCTAGCTAACTTACTCCCATAAATAAGAGAGGATGCAACTAGTCTTTACTACGGAAATGTAGGTCTTGAAACAGGTCATTAGTACCGATATGTAGCTCTTAAAAAGCTCTACAGGATTCGCATTAAATAAACCGTACATATCCTTGGCTCAATCCTTTACAGGTGAAATACCACCGCAATGACCTGTAACAGACAATATAATTGATGTTTTAGCCAATTTACCCCCATAAATAAGAGAGGATGCAACCAGTCTTTATTACAGAAAAATGGCTCTTGAAAAGCTCTGCAGTATTCGCATTAAACAAACGGTACATATCATTGGCTCAATCCTTTATAGGTCAAACATGATCCTAATGGCCTCTAACAGTCAATACAATTGATATTTTAGCCATTTAGTCCCATAAATAAGAGGATGCAACTAGTCTTCCGTGCAGAAAAACAGGTCTTCAAACTAGTCATTAGTACAGAAATGTAGCTCTTGAAAAGCTCTACAGTATTTCGATGACACAAAACGTGCATATCATTGGCTCAATCCTTTATAGGTCTAAGACGACCTCAATGAGCTCTAACGGTCAATATAATTGATGCTTTAGGCACTTTCCTCCCATAAATAACAAAGAATGCAAGTAGTCTTCGGTAAAGAAATACAGCTCTTGAAAAGCTCTACAGTATTCCGATTAAACTAACCGTACATATCATTGGCTCAACCCAGAAACTCTAAAAAGATAACCAACACCTTTCTTGATGAGGCAGAATTGTAGCCCGCGAAATTCTGATCAAAATGAGACATCTCCCAGCTCTACATGATCTTTCTTTGCAAAGTTATAGAATTTACAAGAAAAGCCCTAAATTTTGACTGTCAGCTCAAAGCTACAGAAATTAGAAGAAATTAATTTAGGGCTTTTCTTGTAAATTCTATAACTTTGCAAAGAAAGATCATGTAGAGCTGGGAGATGTCTCATTTTGATCAGACTTCCACGGGCTACAATTTTGCCTCATCAAGAAAGGTGCTGGTTATCTTTTTAGAGTTTCTGAAAAACTGGTTTTCCAGAAAACCGGGTCTTAAAGGGCCCTCCGCCCAAATTCTTTTAGCCTTTTTGCCTACTCGAGGTCCTCTATCGAATGATGTATGAACGAACGAAATCGGAGCCGGACACCTGGGGCGGTTCCCTCGGAAGTAGATTGCAAGCAAAACGTCTTGAAATAATGACAGATGAATAAAAACACTTTATTTCTTCGCTCTATGTTTTCTTCAATTATTCACCGTCTCTTTACTGAATGAAATAAATGTTAAAAGGAACATAAAAAGTGTCAAATTAGTCTCAGTCAGTTCCAGATTTGGATGGTATCAGTTTACAGTATTCTCGATACGTGCAAATATTATGAATATCGTTGTTGATCTTTAAGAGACAGTCCATGAGAAAACCGCGTTTTTCTGACATACTTTCTATCTCCTCAATTTCAAAATTCGTTTTTAATAGCAGATTCTGAAAGAGTATACGATTTCACCAGAAAGCTATTAAAAATTCTTTTTGAAATCCCTTCGGTACAGAGTACCGAACGTCTGAACTTTGAGGCCCATCATAAGTGATCATTTTCGTACTTAACGAGAAAATTAATGACTATTATAAACATGAACGCCGTGACCCACCGGTTTGCTGAGATGCTGCCGAGTATTTCGGATCTTAGACGATTCACTTACATTTTCTTATGTCTGAGTCGCAGGGGCGGGGTGGTTATGTTGGTCGGCACGTACTCCAAAGGTACCGTGTTCGAGCCTCGGCGTCACCCAGTCATAGATTAACCTTGGATAAGTTACTAACGGCTATTGTCTCGGATCACCCGTCCGATAGCATGCTCACTATGTTGTGACATACACCGGCACTTCTGTGCTAGCAATCAGGCGAAAAGAACTCTGTATCAGATTGACCTTCTGTCCAGAACTACAACTTGCTGGATGACTAGTAGAAGAACGGGTGCCCGTCTCTGAAAATCATCAGCTGTAGGGAAGATATCGGGCTTATCGAAACTGCTTCGGCACCATCCTATACCGCAAGGTGGGATATTCTTCTTCTTCCTTATGTCTGCCTTATATACCATTTTGTAGCTCGTGAAATTCTCTATCGAATGGTATATAAAGTAGAGTGGTTTACACATTTTTTAATTCATGTCTAAGGTCAAAACCGTTTTCACACGGTTCTGAAGAATGATGATGGTATGTGGATCCTAGAATGAGGATGGAAAAGCTCAGTAAACTCGCAAAGTTACTCGGTTTCATTCGCTGAACACGAATATATTATTTTTCTCACGAAATAAAATATACGAGAGAGAAAAATGCATTATTTCGGACAAAAGTAATGTTTTGCCGTAGGGATGGCATACGTTGTTGATTTACTAGACCTTTTTTCTAAACTTTGTTTTGGTCGAATGATATCTCATTCAACGCAGCATTAGTCAAAGAACTTTTGGTGAAAAGATCTCGACGCAGACGCAAAACTAGGTATTACTTAACCGGAAATACTAGTTTTTCGGTGTATGCACTTTTTCGAAGTTTTGACCCTAGAACAGCGAGATTAAATCGGAACGATCCTGGCCTTTCAGCACTAAATCTCTATTTGATCCTCTACCAGACAAAATGTTAGCCGCCTCTGTAGCCCTTTTTATGACAAAATTACAGCAATAATAAATTCCTCTGATACTATTATATTTTGGCGAAATAACTGTCAAAATTCCAAAATAATTACTGTAAAAGCAGAAATGCCAGATGAATTCCTGCTTTTGTCAAAATCTAAAATGCCAATGCAGAAATTCCGTTTGCAGAAATGCCGAAATTCCAAAGCAGAAATTCCAGAAGCAGATCGGGGAGTAAACCTTAAATTTGGCGACGCTTGGTGTCAAAAAATGTACATAAATGAGTTTTGTGAGAAAAAATATAAAGGAAATGGCGTCAACGATCGAAAGCTTAATCGTTTCATTTTGTCATAAAGTAATAAATCTTTCTGAATTAGAAACATAGTTATATGAGTGAATATATTTATTGGTAGGACTGGATTATTCAGTTATTCACAGTTGACTCGAGAGCACTGAATGCAAAAAAGTTCATTATAAAAAGATATTTAATTACCGAACTGCTGATGAGTGTGTAAGGACTGCACCCAAAATTATTAAAAATGCTGTCAACAGTTTCGAATCTGTTAAAGTAACTCTACATGTTTTGTTCTTTGTATTCATTCATTTGTATAAACAGTTATCTGCTATGGTGATGTAGTTTATTCTCCCCATTTAACAGCTAGATATTTTCAAAAATTAATTTCCTTTCAGTACAAAGTACGATGTGTTGTTAGCGGTGCAATACGAGGCTTCAAACGAGAATCAGTATGAAGCCTCGTATTTGAAAAAAGGAGGAATCCTGATGAAGGCTTCAAACGAGAATACTACTGAATCACTAACTCTCTAACAAAATATGTTTATTATTATTTCACGGTTACAACACTGTGTTCGCATATGACATTTCGTTCATGTATGATCCAGCATTGGACCATGTTTTAAGAAGAGACAATCATACACATTGAGTAACTCACAATTCACTACGAGATAGACGAAATTCGAGGCAAGTTCTCATCCTAGCAGGAAAAAGTAAGGGAATAAATGTAGATACACTCACAGGATATTAAAAAATATCGGGTTAGTTACACACATGGGGTTTGATCCGAATACAGGATACAACACCCGATGCATCTAGTAAGAAATTATTGCTGATAAAAAATAATAAGATGTAGATACATCTAGCGATTAAGCGTATGATTCATCTAATAGTTTTATAAAAAGGATCGCTAGAAACAAAAAGCAGCGTCATAAGTTTTTTTATCATAAAAATTATCCTCCATCCTGCTTCGTTGAGCCACAATCTGTGATAAAATTCTTAAAAAATACTACTATCCATCTCAAAATATAAGGTCAATAGTTGTTTTTTGAATTATTCAAAGATGATAAAAGGTAGAAACTTGCGATTTTCGGCAATCGAAAGAGAACAGTTTAATCTATGTTTTTATAAGCAGAACTATCTTTGAACAAATTTCTGAAACTGGTTTTCCAAAAGATCTCTGAAAAACCAGTTTCTAACCTCAAAAATTTTACATAGCAATCTATCAATTTTTTTATAGATAGATAGTCCAAAGCGGCCTCTACAAGATAAGGTGTAAACAAAAGCTTCACTTTGCTTGGTTCGACATTTTTCCAGAAGACCTGGGGCTTCTCTGTTCTTCGTTTTGGCACCTTCAGGAATACATGAAAACATAGGTTATTGATCTCACTGAATATACAGTTTTGTAGCGCTTGAAAAGTTAATTCGAATGATGTGTTGTTTAATTATTTGTAAATAAACATGTAAATCGCTGAATTGTTCATAATTGGCGTTAATCAGTATTAATTAACTATTAATCTATATCTTAGTATGGCTTTTTCTGAAATATCTTTGACGTGGCCATAACTACAACATTTTAAGTGGTTAAGGAAAAGAACAGAATAATAAGTGAGAAATGTAAGGCGCGGATAATTCGACGTTACAGCACTATTTTCTTTTTGATGCTTTTACACATGGTTGGGTAGAGCTTTTCAGGCTGATCAAGAGTATGTTAGTCTTAACCTTCCGAACTAATTTTTTCAATGAGAAAATCAGAAAATACTGGAAGGATTGTAAATTTCAAACCATTTCGACACTTAAAATTCGAATAATTTTTTTCTATTTTCATTTCGGAACTCCGCGGTTCTTTTCCGATTCAGCGCATAAAACTGAGCCTACATCTATTATTTAGAGCTTTATCAGATATAACATGGTCAAATTAAATATTTATTTGCCAACGTATCTTAAAGTGTACCAACGTTCTTGCAAACCTACCTAGTTTTTTTTGTCAAGAGAGGAACAGTCATTTGCACTGTTTTCGATTCGTCGTTGCATGCGCCGAAATAATATAAAGAGCCCTTTTTGAAATTCCTTTCCGTTGCTGAAAAAAGTCAACTTTCTACATCAGATGCGGAAAAGTCACAGAATGGTAGGTTTAGTTTTGTAATTTACTGCCTAAGTTCATGTGTTCGAATCTCTATTCGTACAAAACTGCTTTTGTGTTTTTCGATAGTTTTAGTTTAGAATACTATAAGGGAATATTTTTCCGCTTGTATTTTTGGCAGACTCGATAATTTTTCAGCGTGAAAGTTAGACGAAAACTAAAGCAGTCGGATAGGATAGAAATACACATTAGTCAACTCAGTTTTTGATCTAAATTCCGAATATGATATTTTTATTGCATAAAAGTCGAGTTTGATGGAGAAAATTGAGAATTGCGAGCATACATTCTGACTTTTCGCCTCTGATTATAGAAGGAATATAAATTTATATAGAATCTCGCTCCATTACTATGACTCAGAAAAAAATTCAACATCCCTAAAAAGAGAGCAGAAAAAATAATTCCTATGCTTCAGTAATTAAATTATATCATTTTGGTAGTTTTTTCATTTCCACGCCTGCTAAATTAAACTATGTCAGTTCTAAAAGTTCTTCGATCTATAATCTATCAATATTGTGTTGCACACTATTTCTCATCTGCTCTCTAATTTCCAAAGATTTATCACTGGGACGCTTGCAATATGCGAGTGCCGAAGCCTGTACTGGTCAGAGAGCATAATTTTTAGTTTTCCTCCTTTGTTTCGCTGTAAATTTTATTTAACTTTTTTTGCTCTAGTGTTAGCCATACGTCTGTGCCAACCTAGTGCCAATCCACCCAGTCCATGGTGGACTACAAAAGTCCTCTAGTTTCCGGTTGGCAATATCTTAAGAAAAACAATCCTAGATGTTGATATGCCTTTGTTGCAATTCTGCGCATCTTATACTTTTCATTAGTTTCTATTGCACTTTCATTAGCTGTTCTAATGCATTTTATCGTTTTGCCACACGGATCCAAATGCCATTTTGCGGTCCTAATGATGGACTTTTCGTTAGTTTCACCGGTACCTAAACACAGAAACGATTTTTCAAAGTCTGTCAAGAGCATCCTGAGAAAACGATTTTTATCTTGTTTATTGGAATAAGCAAACACAAAGGGACTGTTACTCAACTTTCTCTCTCAGTTAAATCTAACGGCTATACGAGAGTGGTATGTGCATAAACAAACCTCGGTTTTTTCACAACGCTCAATCGCAACAGTACGTAAAGCATTGACTATCGCTATTTTTACTTCTTGTAATGCAAATCGCATTCCAATGCAGTTTCTATAAAACAAACACATCGTATAGTGAATATATTCGTAGCGTGTACGGATTAATCTAGATTGTTGATTTTCTCCTTGAGAATTCCTTCGGCAGGAAACGTTATGGTAGCTATTTAAAAGCTAAATGGATGTTCCATGTAGCTCTCGCAACCTTTTTTCAAGATTCGAAGCCTACAAGATTCCACTATGCCATATTTATAATCGCATCGGACTGTGTAAGAATCCATCTTTGTCCCCGACATGGATCATTCGATAAGGTCGTTTCAGAAGTTACAAGAGATATAACTGACATTTTCGATCGCCGACTGCAATTTCAGAGAACTTTCTGTGAGTTGGGAGTATGATCACTGTAGAGAACATGCCAAATTAGGCATGTATCGATTTCGTGTAATCGAACTTCGACTATTCGATTTCTTTGCATTAAAAATCAATGACCCACAAAAGAAGGAGAATTTCTTACATCACCCTACTTGCTTGTTTACCGACATGTAAGGCGCTCCAAATTCGAAGTTACAGTGAAATTCGTATTCCACTCTTGTTAGATATCCCTAGACGCAGAATTTTACGCTGATTCAGAATATCACCTTTAAAATTCTATTAACTTGCGTCTTCGTTGAGAAAAGCGAAAAAACGAAAAGACGTGCTTTTGTGCCCAAAATGGCTAATTTTGTAAAAATCACTTTATATTTTGTTACAACAACTATTTGGAACCTTCAAAGTTAGTTATTCTGACTCATCGTGAAAAACTGCATCGATCTACGTAAGTTTTAAAATTTTCCAATGAATAAAAGTGATTCACAAATCCACACGGATCGATATAATAATGCGTTTTACCTCTACCCAGGAAAAATGCCATCAGATTTTTTTCGTAATAGATACAAACTTAATTATGTCGCCATTCGGTTCTCCATGAAACTTTTTACAAACGCACGGATCTTTTTTTCGAATTTTGTTTCTCTTGCTGAGTTATGAAGTTTTTACCGAAAAAATCCAGGTTTTGGCCCAATCGGCGTAGTGATTTTTTCGACAACGGCGTTCATGTTTATAATATCCATTGATTTTCTGGTGAATTACTCCGCTTTATATGTAATTCGGTAGAGAATTTCACGAGCTTCAAAATGAGCTATAAATGGGTCTTTCAAAAATATGCCCACATTGGTCAATAGTTGAAATACTTGACCGGTATAATGATTTTCACCAAATAATGAATCGCCAAAGTCAAGGAAGAAATCCATATACTCGGCATAGATATGAGCCGCGCGTTTGACACCACAGACAGAGACAACTCATGAAAGAGCTGAAGGACATCGTCGATGAAGACAGCTGGAGAATGGTTCAAGTCCTACTAAGTAAGACAACACTGCAAGCGAAAATCAAGAACGCACTCTCGTCACCATTCGAAACTAACATCGGAGCTCCCCAAGGAGACGCCCTAGGTCCAGTTCTATTCACCATCTATCTTGAACTAGCTCTAAAAGAGATTCAAAAAGCATGCCCACGACCTGTACATGACAAATCGATTCCACAAGAAACGCTACGCCGATGACACTGACTTTATTACTACAACACACTAAATGATTGAAATAATAAAGTCAAAAGCACCAGATAAACTGGAAGCATGGAAGCTTGAAATGAACATCGATAAAAACCGAAGTAACCCTACTCAAAAGAGAAAATATAACAGAGAGGAGAAGTGGTGAAAGGTAAAAAGCTTGGCACACTACTTGGAGACGGGGAGGAAATGCGCAGAAGAAAACAACCAGTAGCAGGAGCGCTCAAGAACGTGTGAAGTTTGTGGCGAAGAAAGAACAACAAAATAAGCGAGAGAAAACGAATTCAACTCTACAACGCCTACATCACACCGATTCTTACATACAACATGTGTACTTGGGCACTAACAAGATCAGAAGTCAACGAGCTCGAAACGTTTCATCGAAAACAACTCCGTTCAGTCATTGAAGTGTACTATCCGGATATAATATCAAACAAAGCCTTGTATAAACATTGCAATACAAGTAAACTCGAACCAAAAATACGCAAGGCTCGATGGCGACCGACACGCCCTTAGAATGACGAACAAAACACCTGCGAAATTCTCGATGCTTCAGTATTTCAACAACAGCACATCAAGTGGCTTCAGAGGCAGAACAAGAAGAACACTGTCGATTCTTATAGACCAAGATCGAAAACTCGTCGAAGAACAGCTTACTGACCCAGCAACTCAACTCGAATTACCGCAACAACTCAAGTCAGTTGAAGATCTAAAGAAGCTTGAAACGATCGCGAAGCTAAGAAAGAAATGGAAGCAAATAATGGCTACTATGCTACTATAATGGAATTATTTTTTATAGTGAATTTTTTTCTGGCTAATAAAAATTTATAGACCCGGATCCGGACCCGTTGAATTCAAAATCTTCGGACCCGATGGGCTCTACCCAGGGCACACTTCTCTCCAAAATCAAACGTCAACTTTTTTGAATCTTTTCTATGTGATACTCATCGTTGTCAGAACTTTTCTAGCTACCATTTTCTTCACTCTTCACAGATCATGAACGGCGCCTTGAGCTTCAAAAGCCGAAGGATTTCGTATATAATTAGGTCATGTTATAAGAGAATTTGTACGCTATTTTTACTCTTAAGACAAAAGTTATTTTTTTGGTGAACAACAATCTAACACTATACCTATTGTAATATCTGAGCCGGTCTTATTGAATGATCTAGGTCGGGGGCAACGATAGATTCTTACACAGTTCAATACGACTACAAACATGGCATACTGATACCTTGTGAGGTTCCAGTCTTGAAAATAGTTTGCAGAGCTGCATTGACGTGTCCAAATATCATACATTTTACCGTACACTAAAAACATAATGTGTCGCATATGTCCCAAATTGCGGCACTGCTTTTCCATGAGTGCAGCGACAATTCTTTTGCAAAAAAGATGCGATACGTTCTTCAACAAACAATTCCTTAGAAATTGTCTGGGTTTTAAGCCAGTTTGGATTACTTCTGGTAATAAGGAGGTGCGAAAATTGGGTGGAATAGTAGACCGAATGAGCCATACGCATATCCTTGTGGAAGCACTGTGTGTTGGTCGTCAGGCGGCTTGTAAACTGGTCGTATAACTGCGTGTATTGTATAGACAGAACGCAGGAAAAGAGAAAGGAAGAATACCGTGTTTTGCGGCTACTGTTGCCGGTAGGGTGCTGCTGTGGTTTTAACAGCCCGATATCTTCCCTGCAATTGACAAGCTCCTGAGATGGTCACCCATCTCGTTATTAGTCATCAATTGCAGTTCTGACCAGAAGACTAGCCGGACGCAGAATTCTTCCGTCCAATTACTTGAGCTCTCCATACACAGTTCACTAATCACTTACTAGCTTTCCGGAAAGCCACGGGGACTCGCTGAGAATCTGTATTGTACGTGACAATGTAGTGAGTATGCTGTCAGTCGGGTGATCCAAGGCACTAAGACATAAGTAACTTGTCCAAGGTTATTACATGACTTTGTTAGCACAGGAAAAGAGTAGCTATATATGTAGCGACCTCTTCAGGATGTACATATGGCTCACTGGGATGTTTTTTTAGGGAAGTAAAAATTTAGAAAGATCTGTTAGAACCTGACTGTTTCGAATTAGACCAAGAAAATTAGAAGATGACCAAAAGGACAGCGAAGAGGCAAAAAAGTTAAACTTCTATTCTAGTGATGACGACTTGTTTTAAAAAAAGCCATCCTAAGTATTTAGGATGCTGTATCATCTTAGCGTCATCGACAGCTTCATTTGATGTGATGAGAACGTTAGTTTTTAATAATCTAATAGTAATGAAAAACGTTCAAGCATGCTCTAATAATACTTTTTTCGGTACCAAGTAGAAAATTAACCTAAAGACATACCTTGTCAACGCCTAGCAGCTGCAACGGTTGAATTACCCACACACGGTGCGACACATTATTTTTTGTAGCGATACCGTTTTTACTGAAGTTAGCCCTTGCACCCCTAACTTACCTTGGTCCGTCACCAAATGGTAGAAATTGTAATGGATGATGCCTGGCTTTTTCTGATAACGAAAATCTTTCGAAGAAAGCTATGCACTTTGCTGACACACACTCATGTCCTACCGTTCTGGCCTAAACTCATTGGGATTAGACCAAAGCCTGGCATTATAGTGCACAGCAATGACTGGAACTTCGATTACCATACCAGATGGTAAATGATAACCATCAAGTTCATATGGAGCAGCTGTGACTCGATCAAATCTAATTAGAGTAGAATCACGTATGAGACTGGATTCAACAAAAAGCAGATTGATCGAACTGCGAACCTAAGTATAGGTGGATACATTCTAAGTGTTTCGTTAATAACCATATCTAAATACTGGAATTCACCAAAGTTTTCATGATTAATAATTTCGTCCTATTCAATGGCATATGACATGGTTAAGTATATTTTAGGTAGAAATTTTTCAGAAACTATGTTACTTCTTTGACAACTGCTTTAATTTCATTATAAACTTTATCTTGAATATCTGGATGTATAGCCATTACGTACATGAAGAATGATAGAAGTATAGCTGGTACATCATGATTAAGAAAAAATTCTAATGCATAACTGACTATCTTCTGATTATTTGATACAGCTACAAAAAAGAACATATTCATTCGAAGAATTTGTCAATTTACCTTTCTCACATTTGAAATTTTCTGTTGTTGACGATTCGTCGTATTCGTGATCAATCATTGTTTGAAGAAAATCGGCCCGTTTCTAAAAATGAATAAAGAGTGGCTCATCGAAACACTTGGTCTCACAATCACTTGTACTTCTGTCTGTTTTTTTCGTTGTTCGATTGTAGAATTAAGAAGATTAATTAAATACTGACAGGATTCTTTTGAAGATATAAATAAGCCTTTTTTGGCTAAATAATTTGTTAATAGTGGAAACATGTCTGAAAACAAAAAACTCATGAACAGAGACACCTTGTCGATTGTTTTCGGACACGCTTACTATAGAGAGCTGTATTCCAGACCAATGTTTGTTGAAAGTTGTTCAAATGCTCCATTAACGGCGCACGTTTGAATCCATTATCCAGCGAATTTGTTTCAATACCAAATAAACAGGATGTAATGTTATCTGTCACGTAAGCATCCATCAGACTAAATGGAAGAGAGGAACACTGATACATCATATCGTGAAAGTTTTCAGTAAAAGTTCTTCTGGTATACTCCCGACTTACTACGAATAGTAACATCAGACACAGCTTTATTGTAAAGCAGGAACGAGTAGTTTCGAACTAAATATTTCTGTCGTGTTATTCTCCGACAAAATTTTCTCGGAATCTTACAGCCTCAGTTCCGCTGGACACTCTAGACCATCTCAGGTCAGCAGGCTTGTGAGTCCAGTCAGGCTCTCAGATCGAATCGGATCAGGACAACAAATTGACTTCTGGAAGTTTGATCCGTTAGTGATGCTCTTTTTATAATTGAATACCACTCTCCGTAATATGAAAGAGTTATAACTGAATATCTCACTCAAACACTAGCGCGCTTAGTTTACCGTTCGTTTGTCTTTTTCTTTACTTTTTGACATTGAACATTTCCTTGTTTTCAGCATACTGTAAGAAACGTTTGTTTAAGATTGTGCTGGTCGCGTTCATAAGAATAAACATCTTCAAAGGAAAAAACAGTAAAAGTGTTGGAGGGAGACAATTTATCTTTTTTCTTGCTTGTTTCAGTTTGCTCGTTGTGAATGTTGGTGTTATCAATGCACGTGCACTCTTCCACTGATCTCCTTTGGCGTTAATAATACCGTGTTCTAATGGACCTAAAGTGTTCCCACCTACCTGCATTTGAACAAAGGTCATAGCATTTCGTTTTGTTTGGAAAACGTCATCTTACTCGTCTGTCGCGAATTATGTGTCCATCTTTAACAAGAACTTGGCGTAACAGTTCCGGATCACTGACAAGTACAACTGGTGTGTGTCCTTCGAACACTCTAAAAGTGGAATAATTGCAATGAAAAAACCTGTTGAAGGAATAAACCACTTACATACCCTAGTACACCTCCATATTTTTTTACTAAATCATAATCATTTTTATAAAATCCCTGAAAAAATGCAGGCAAGAGCAAATCATTACGACGTGCATATTTATTAAGTAGGAGAACTTTCCTTTCTAATATAATCTAACATTGAACCCACAAATGGAAATGGTATTGGTCCGGGGATGTTAAGACGTCGAAAAATGTTTTGTGTTTGAAAAACATAGCTAAAAGTAGAAAATATATATCAGGACCCAAAGAGATATTTTAAGAAAAACTGTCGCAGTTAAACTTACACATAGTATCCAAATAATATCAGCAATATAATAACTAGCGTTAGTGTGGTCGCATAAGAAATTAAATATATGGACATACTGGGATACGAATAATGAAACAAGATGTGTGACTATCAGTCGAATCAACTCTGTATTTTTGAAGCCTGCCTGGTAAACAGAGCAATCTCATTTTCATGTAATATTCACTGAACTGTGACCACCTTAGCGAATTCAGTTTTTCGTACAATCAAAATAGGGTGTACGCTTTCGTTGTACATGAACAGCTTTTTAATTATACTTTATTATAACCTCCTTTGCAACGCGATACGTTCTTTTAAGCCTGAACAACATAGGTTGTGACTTACGTGCAACGACTGATATGTATAACTTTCTTTCTCTTTTCTTTTCATAAGTTTATTTTTAGTGTTCTACTTACTATAGTAATTATCCTGCATAAATGCATGCCTCAACTTGTTTCGAACAGATATTTCCACGTTTTAAATTATCTTCATTTAGACAAATAATATCACCATAAACACAGTGGAAAAGCATAAAAACATATTTACTCGTGATCAAACTTGTATTCTTTCTATTTGACGAACCTGCAAATTATTTATTCGCCATAAAGATACTGAAAGAGACAAGTGATAGTAACGTATCAGATTTATCATACAAAAACACAGAAGAGACAATAACATCAGCCTTTACTGAAATTCCAGTTATTGATTTTGCCCCGTTTATAAATGGCACTTTGGAAGAGAAAACTCAAGTTGCAGAAGAAATTGGCAGTGCTGACAGGTTTCGAGCTGCGCACTAACGAAAAATACAAAGTCGAACATGGACTATTATCAAGGGGGAAAAAGCACCACTTCTCCACTTCACTTCACTTCCACTTCACTTGAAGTGAAGTGGAAGTGATTTTGAAGTGTCCATGAAGTGAACTAGTGAAGTGGAAGATAGAGACGAGTAAATAAAT